CCCAGGCCCAGAGTTCAGGCCCCACGACCGGACCCCCCTACTCCCCCCCCAAAAAACGATTCTAGGTGTGGGTGCCCAGCACCACCTTGTAATTAGTGTACAAGAGCATTTCATTCTGATATCCATATATGCACGCCATGTTTCTTTTTTTTGTCAGTCATGGGGCTTGAGCTCTGGGCCTGGGCGCTGTCCCTCAGCTCTTTAGCTCAATACTAGTGCTCTACCACTTGAGCTACAGTGCCACTTCCAGTTTTCTTGTGGTTTATTGGAGATAAGAGTCTTATGGACTTTACCTGGGCTGACTCTGAACCATGATCCTCAGATCTCAGCCTCCTGAGTAGCTAGGATTACAGGCGTGAGCCACTGGCGCCTGGCTTGGTTTTCAATTTAGAAAACAAGTCATAACACAGGCAATATAGAAGCTCTAGTGATCTTGGAACTTAAGGCAAACTAAGTTTTGCTATTTTTCACGAGCAAGTCCTTGCTAAAAGTAAGTCAGACATTTCATAAAGCCTAAGAACTGAAATAAGAAGCCCTAAAAACATGTGTAAATATTAGGGTGCTGCACTGACCTGCCCACTTTTTTTTTTCCCACTTCAAAGCATCTTCTCGAATCTGGTCCCAGTCTATCAGTGGCTGGTCATCTGTTCCACTGTCATTTGCGTTTACCTCTTTTTCAACAGAAGGCTGGAACTCAAGAACACCTGTTTAAAAATATTCCTATAGAGTTAATTGTATAAGAAATCCCAATCTATTCTATGTTTGTTAATAATTGGATGCTAATGATTGAAATACAAATTTGAATGTTGGTGGCTCATACCTGTAATCCTGAGTACTCAGGAGGCTGAGAGCTGGAGATTATGGTTCAAAGCTAGCCTCAGTAGAAAAGTTCATGAGATTCTTATCTCCAAGTAGAACTGTAGTATAAGTAGTAGAGCACTAGCCTTGAGCCAAAAAGCTAAACAAGAACATAAAGTCCAGTGTTCAAGCCCTAGTATCAGAACAAATTTGTTGTTGTTGATCGTGGGGCTTGAGCTCGGGGCCTGGGCGCTGTCCCTGAGCTTTTTGCTCTACCATTTTGAGCCACAGTGCCACTTCCAGTTTTCTGGTGGTTAACTGGAAATAAATGTCTCACAGACTTTCCTGCCTAGGCTGGCTTTGAGTATCAATCCTCAGGTCTCAGGATTCACAGGCATGAGCCACTAGCACCTGTGTAGAACCATTTTTTTTTTTTTTGCAGCTTTTATACTACCACGACAGAGAGGCTATCTTGTCATTATTTACTGTCTTAGACAAATTCAGTTTTTTGAAGAAGGGAAGAAAAATAGAATGAAGTATCTAGCAGGTATTAACATCCTGTTATATTACTGAATTTTTTTTTTTTGGGTCCAGTCGTGGGGCCTGAACTCGGCCTGGGAGCTGTCCCTCAGCTCTTCAGCTCAAGGCTAGCGCTCTACCACTTGAGCCACAGCGCCACTCCGGCTTTTGTCTTTTTGCTTATGTGGTGCTGAGGAATCGAACCCAGGGCCTCAGGCATGCAAAGCAAGCACTCTACCACTGAGCCATCTTCCCAGCCCCATATTACTGAATTTTTATAATGGTTTTATAAAGTCAGATATTACCCTTGAAGGAGATATAACATTTTCATCTGAACCCAGGCTTTCAAGGTTCGATAGTGCTTTTTTTTCTCCCCCCCCCTTTAGTGTAAATATATTTGAAGTTTAAAATTTTTCAAATAATTTTTCTTTTGTACTTTTAAGGGCATCAACTCAGGGCCTGGGTGCTGTACCTGAGCCTTTCCATTAATGCTGGTGCTCTACCACTTGAGCTCCAGTTCTTCTTCTGGATTTTGGGTGGTTATTTAAACTCTCCTGTCTGGACTGACTTTGTATCACAGTTCTCAGATTTCAGCCTCTTGAGTAGCTAGAATGACAGGCATGAGCTACCAGTGCCCAACTTTGAGTTATTTAAGCAAGAGTCTGAGCTGGGCACTGGTGGCTCACATTGGTAATCCTAGCTACTCAGGAGGCTGAATTCTGATAGATTACAGTTTGAAATCAGCCAGAGCAGCAAAGTCACTGGGATTCAATGTCTAATCAACTGGTAAAATGCTAGGGTGAGCTGGGCGCCAGTGGCTCAGACCTGTAATCCTAGCTACTCAGGAGGTTGAGCTCTCAGGATCAAAGTTCAGCCCAGTCTGTGAGACTGAAATCTCCAATAAACCACTCAGAAAACAGGAAGTGGCACTGTGGCTCAAGTAGTAGAGCGCTAGCCTTGAGCTGAAGAGCTGAGGAACTGTGCCCAAGCCCAGAATTCAAGCCCCATGACGGACAAAAAAACAGAAAACAAAACAAAAAAATTCTAGGGTGGAAACTTGACTCATATGATAGAGCACCAGTCAAACAAACAAGCAGAGCAAGCAGGAGGCCTTGAGTTCAAATCTCCCAGCACGTCCCGTCCCCTCTCCTCTCCTCTTCTCTCCTCCCCTCCCCACCACACACCCACCTACACCCACCCACCTACACCCACCCACCCACACACACCCACCCACCCACACCCACACACACCATAAAAAAACCAACACTGAAAGTTTTATTTCTAAAGTACTTCAACAGGCAAAAATTACTTACCACTTTTGTGTTCTGGATTGTAATTTTCATGTTTTTTTACAAAATTATCTATCATTGCTTTTGCTTTTGTCTGCATTGCCTTATTGCCAAAAATTTTGACTTCTGCCTCAGGATTTCCTTTTGTTATCTATGTACAAGGAGAAAAATAGATGAGACTCCTTACTTGCTCCAACTTTCAAACAAAGTATGGCTTCCATCCAGTGTCTAAATGTCTAGTATGAATGGACACTGTTTATATATACTGTAGGATTTGCCTCAGGGGAAGATGCAAGCTGGGTGTGCTGGCTCACACCTGTAATCCTAACTACTCAGGAGGCTAAAATCTGAGGATCTTTGAGGCCAGTCTGGGTAGAAAAGTCCCTGAGACTCTTATTGCCAATTAATCACTAAAGAGCTGGTAGTAAAGCTGTGGCTCAAGTGGTAAAAAGCCAGTCTTTTTTTTTGTCGGTCGTGGGGCTTGAACTCTGGGCCTGGGCGCTGTCCCTCAGCTCTTCAGCTCAAGGCGAGTGCTCTACCACTTGAGCTACAGCAC